AAACATTGTAATTTCCCTAATGGCCTTTCACTTAAACTAGACCTCCATCCCATTCCTCCACCCGTCCACTGTTATTCATTCATTTCAGACATCCGCTCCAAATCCAGGGGCATCACTCCCAGCCATTCAGCTGCCAGTCGGATAGCAAACCAGCCAGGACATTACCCAGGTATCTCAGGGCCTCCTCACCCCCTCCTGTCACTGCCCATAATTATCAGTCATTACTCATTTACTGTCATCACACCTTTTATTCTTGTCCCTATTCATTTTTCAGTCTCAGGAATAAAAGATGATTGGTTATACACCGAATTTTGAAGTCTCTACTTTGATAATGGTCCATTACATGAGATGACTATAAAGTCAGTGTTGTGACCTTTATAGACACAACTGGGTTGTGATATTCAAAACCAGAATGAAATTATATTGTGTATTTTGGTATGGTGCCCTATTTATAATAAATGTACCTACATTTTGTACTCTCAGCTCCCAGCATGCACCACAGCAACAGCAACCCATCCATGATGTCAGAGGAGGCCACAAGAGGTGTAGCTGTAGAGAAATTTGACAGCATGAAAAAGTGGAGCATTAACACGTACAAGGTACAGTAGTTTCATGTTTTTAAAATAAATCTCTTATGTTCACCAAGGCTGAATTTATTTATTCAAAAATACAGTAAAAAACAGTAATATTGTGGAATGTTATTACAATTTTAAATAACTGTTTTTGTTTTGTTTTTTACTTTAACAGATTTTAAAATGTATATATTGCTGTTATGACAAAACTGAATATTCAGAATCATTACTCCAGTCTTCAGTGTCACATGATCCTTCAGAAATCATTCTAATATGCTGATTTGGTGCTCAGGAAACATTTATTATTATCAATGTTGAAAACAATTGTGCTGTGCTTTATATTTTTAGGAAATTGTGATACATTTAGGATTCTTTATTGACTAGAAAATATGTAAAAATAGACAGTTTTGTATAATTATAAATGTCTTTACTGTGACATTTGTGACCTCGAACTTATCCTTGCTTCATAAAAGTATTCATTTATTTTAATATTTTTTTAATCTTACCACAAGTATTTTTTTTATTATATCTGTAGTTATTTAGGCTTTATCAAAATAATCTGTGTAGGGATTCATATGTATCTTGCCTTCCTTTCTTTACCAGTGCACAAAACAGATGTTTTCGGAGCGCTTCGGTCGTGGCTCAAAGACGGTGGACCTGGAGCTTGAGGCTCAGATTGATGTGCTAAGAGAGACTAAGATGAAGTACGAGTGTATTCTGAGACTAGCACGTGAGCTCACCAGCCACTTCTACAACATGGTGCAGACTCAGCAGGCTCTTGGAGACACCTTTGCTGATCTTAGCCAGAAATCTCCAGAATTGCAGGTACTAATATTTTTTTTGCCGTTTGGTTACATATCGCCACTGAATCTTAACATAGTGTCCCATTTTTAATGGTTTTTGCAAACGAAAGAATTACCAGCACTTTTTTGCCTTATAGACAGTTCGATAAGACAAAAAAGACATACTGTCCAAAACAGTATCTTGTATTGTATATTTATATTTATATTGATATTTATATCTAGAGTAGATTTTGCTTTCATTACATTGCAGCTTACATATATACATACATAAACATTTTTCTCAAAATTTGTGAAAATGTTTGTTTCCACAAGATTTTAATATAACACGAATATGCCTTTACTCTATTTGATGGTTTAATAGCTGTATAAATAACGTTATCCTCAACTTAACTTTTTTTTTTACTTTTCCAGGATGAGTTTGGCTATAATGCAGAGACACAAAGACTGCTATGCAAGAATGGAGAGACGCTCCTGGGTGCCATCAATTTCTTTGTGTCCAGCATAAATACACTAGTCAACAAAACCATGGAGGACACACTCATGACCATCAAGATATATGAGAATGCAAGGTATCAAAAGTTTGATATTAATGAGTTACATGTTACATGAGTAACTGTTGTAATATCTGCTTAAACAAATTAGATTAGGGCTAACAAAAATTCTGCAAATTAATTACATGATATACAGAGTGATTAATCAAATTAACATACATTCTCACACAAATATGTTTTTATTTTTTATTTTATCTGATTTGATATTATATTTTTTTTTCAATCTGTACATCATGTAATTAATTGCTAAGATAAGAAGCCCCCCAAATGAGGATGGATCAAATAATTTTTACATTTATTGCAAAACACAAGTATATAATTGAATATACCGTACATTACAAAAAAGGGCTTTAGAAGTTAATGTATTGGTTTATTTCAGTTTCATTTAACATAAGCGTATCGCTAGAATTTGTTTTGCAACTGAGTTTGTCAATCTGTCTGAAGTCGGCATTTACACAACACTTTCTGGCTGTTGCATCATGTCTTGTTCATTTTTTTTTCCCACAACATGAATCATAAAAATCACATTTTTGGTCCACACAATGGAAGTAAATGGTAACCAAAAGAGCTTGTGATTCTTCAGAATATCCTTTGGGTTACAAGTCCGACTCTCTAACCATTAGGCCACGACTTCCCCGATTTTATGTTCCCCAGCAGAAAAAGTCCTACAAGTTTGGAATAATTCAGCGAGTAAATGACAGAATTTTCATTTTCACAGCATGTTAATCTGACATGTCTAATTGTGATATCAAGGGATTTGCAGCCTGTACATCAAGGAGAATTTCTTTTTTTTAATCCTAGGATTAGTTATATAGGTTTATTGAACCAGCTTATACTTATGAGTACTGATGTTTCAGACTGGAATTCGATGCCTATAGAACCGACCTGGAGGAGTTGAGCGCGGGTCCACGGGACGCTGCAGCCATGGTGCGCATTGAGATAGCTCAACAGCAGTACCAAATCCATAAAGACAAGTATGAACAACTGCACAGTGATGTCAGCATCAAGCTCAAGTTTTTGGAGGAGAATAAGGTACCATGTTGAAATCCATATTGTTCAACTTTTTTATTTCGTAAGTCACAAATATTACTCAGTTTTAATATTTTAACTTTCCAGGTAAAGGTGATGCACAAGCAGCTCCTACTGTTTCATAATGCTGTCTCTGCGTATTTTGCTGGAAACCAGCAGCAGCTGGAACAGACTCTCAGACAGTTCAATGTGAAATTGAAGCCACCAGGTTCTGACAAGCCGTCGTGGCTTGAGGAACAGTGATCACTTTGTCAATGTAAAGAGACACTCAAACATGCAAACCCGAAAATGGATGGACGGGGATGTAAAAGTGATTCGTATGAATGATTAAGACAAAAGAAGTAGTTGTTTTTAAGTTGCCAAACCTTGGAAATATGCCCAGAAAGTCTTAAAATAAATATACATTTGATCCAAATGGCCTATGGAAACTATCTGTGGTTACGTTTTACAGCTGCATTCAAAGTAATGAATGTTGCAAAATTACAATACAAATCAATCACATAACTCACTTTCTGTAAAAACGTTAACATTTTCTGAGGCATTCATAGTCATATTCACAAAACTGTTCCATATCCAGTGAGCACCTCGCAGGCCAGTTTATATACTTTGTTTTATCATAGAGCCAAAAGGAATGAATGTTGTGCTTGTGTGTTTGTTTTTAACGTAAGTTTGTTTGAAAGAGGATTGGGTCATGGTAATAGAATGAAAAATTGCTCACGGTATGTGTCATAAGAAGGTTAATAATACTATATTTATATATATGTAAATTGTGCAGTCCTATCTATGAAATTAAAACACATTTGAAAGCGAAATAATCGAATGAGTGATATTTATCTTGCCTTATGCGTCTCTCTTACTTTTACTGCCACATGGCAGCCAGGCTTAGTTTCTGAGCAGCATCTTCAAACTTTGACTAGCTGCCAGCAGACGCTACTGGTGAAACCTAGAAAAAAATTAACCACTTTTCCTTGATTGGATTGTTATTCCCTTGACTCTGTACTCGAATAAGAGAAGGGCTTGGTTTCACTGTGGTAATCAAATTGGAATATCATGCATTAAGGGATAGAAGAGCTTCTTTGCCTTAACAAGAATGTGTTGCATCTGCAATTATATTCTCCTTGTGTTACACTATTTTTTGATATTGATTCAGCCTGATATTTTATCTCCTTAAAATACTGTCCCACTTCTTCTTGCAGAGACTTGTCAACAGGGCACTACTATATATTCCATTATACAGTCCAGTCCTTTATTTCAACACAAATACGAAAGTATTTAAATTGATAATACATAAATTGATATTTAACTTAGTTTTAGTCAAGAAAAGAAAAACTCTGATTTGCTATGGTTTTCTTCTAAAATGTACAATATTTTACAAAAAGGACTCCACTCCTCGACATTACAATACACGTACTTTTCATTTTTTTTTTTAAATGTCTGTAAAAATTCTGATTCTTTAATGAGGTAAGGTCTGAGGGATTTTATGGTTGGTTGTCTATTTTCCCCATTGAAACATTAACCCGTGTGAAACGGCCTTTACCCAAAGTAACTGTCAAGTAAACAGCCCAGCTTTCAGTTTCTAACGGTACTCGCTGTTATTATCTGTGAAGTTGGGTGATTAAAAGTGATAATACATAAATTGATATTTAACTTAGTTTTAGTCAAGAAAAGAAAAACTCTGATTTGCTATGGTTTTCTTCTAAAATGTACAATATTTTACAAAAAGGACTCCACTCCTCGACATTAAAATACAAGTACTTTTCATTTTTTTTTAAATGTCTGTAAAAATTCTGATACTTTAATGAGGTAAGGTCTGAGGGATTTTATGGTTGGTTGTCTATTTTCCCCATTGAAACATTAACCCGTGTGAAACGGCCTTTACCCGAAGTAACTGTACAAGTAAACAGCCCAGCTTTCAGTTTCTAACGGTACTCGCTGTTATTATCTGTGAAGTTGGGTGATTACCCATTTACATGGTACTTTCTGAGATTTGAATGACCGAGGGATTACGTCTGTAACCAGCGCTGACGAGTTCTGGGCGTGAGCTACAGGTAAGCGAGCGGATGATTGCAACATTCTTCCGCAGAACGGCTTTGCAGTAACCAGCAGTGTGACAGACTAACATGGAGCATGTTTTTCTCGTCTGGAGTATATAGCCAAAGTACATTCAGATATTGTCAGACAGCAGTTTCTTTTGGGAGACGTCTGGATACCTCACAAACGAGTAAGTAAATAATTTCTATGAATTAAAATACAAAGATACTACGGTTTTACCAAAAAGACCTTGGGCGATAAAGTCTTTTTTCATGGAGTAGGTTATTATAATACTATACAGTATCATAGAAGTAGTTTTATATTGAAATGTATGTATAGACCTGGAGTACAGAGTAGGCTACCATATTATTACCATCAGTGAACTGTGGTAAAAAAACAACAACCATGGTACTGAGAGAAGTTTTTAAGCTTTAAAAAGTTCCTGCAGATATTGTGGAGGAATTAACCTGACTATATATATATCACCTTATTATATATTCTATTAGTTATATAGGTATTTATATATATATATACTGACAGTCTTTGCATAAAAGAAAGAGGTCATGTAAACTTGAAAACCTGTATTTTCTGTCATGGTTTTGTTAGTATGTTCTCACCAATGCTTATTACCTAGAGTTACTTGGTTAACTTCCCTACACTAATTCTTCCGTTTTCAGCTGAAAGACGGCATATATTAACATATTGTAGACACACAGTTTCCATATGGTTTCTTTTTCTGGCTTTTCTTTAAAGGGATGATGGAGCAGAATCTTTGCAAGTGACATCCAAATCATGATACCACCACCGCCGCCACCACCACCACCTAATGCCCCACCTCCCCCTCCTCCTCCTCCACCCCCTGCCCTCTTCTCTGGTGGAGGCCCGTTTACCAGAGGCCCAATGCGGGCCTCTAGAATGCGTAATTTCAATTGGGAGGCCATACCTAAGGACACTGTGCTTGGCAAACACAACATATGGACGGCTGAGAAGAACAGTGAGTTTGAGTTGGACACCAAACGTATGGAGGAGTTATTCAGCCACAATGATCAGAAGCAGGTCCAGGCCACAAACCGCCGCAGTGTACGCCAGTCCCCGAGCAATGCCTCAGGACCCGAAATGGTGAGTTCAGGTAGAATGTGCCAGAAAAGTTGTTCTGTACCTGCAGGCTTACAGTAAGTGGGTGTTTCCAGACTCATTTCATCAGAGAGATTTGCATATGCTTACATCAAGCTTGTCTCTAGGGTAGGGTCAGTGACTGTCCCAGGCAGTCTGTAATAGAGATGACTTTTGGTTAGTTGGAACCTCACTTCATTTCTGTTTATTTTGTACTTTATAATTGTCACTGTAGTAATGATTTCAGAGCTGAAGGTGATTCAAGCTTCATATATTTTCATGCTGCATGCAGGAGGTGTCATAATTGCTAATTTTGCATAAACCGTTTCTTTATGGTCATTTATCTTTCACATAGTGTACTGCAGATTATTACTAAAGCTACTTCTTCATGATCTAACCCTTTAGTTTTTTTATGTAAACCAATGGATTTTGACTTAAATAAAATCTATACAATTATTTTTTAATTGTTTTACCTAAAATAATCTTTTGACATTAATAAATGCTATTAATTTATTTTAACATTAAATAAATTAATTATAATAAAATTGCATGTTATCACTTTTTATAGTGTAAATTATGCATGCTATTGTGGATCAATTACTATTTTTGTCATAATCTCTCTCTTCTTTGGTAAGTTTAGTATATTGCATAATAATTTCAGCAAAATGTGGCTAGTTTATGACATTTTGTCAGAGAACATCTATTTATAAACTGGCTTTACTTCTGCTAAAGTCACATGATACAGAACTAATTGGTAACTACTGCTAAAATCAGGTAGATAAAGAAAAGGAGAAGTTTACTAAAAGGAAATTTAAATAACAGTGATTTCAAATTAGGATTGCCGTGTTTTCCAGAAAAATCCCATTTGATTGTTTCTCAGCATGTTGCTTGGAAAGATTTGACATATTTTAGTGTCGTAATCATGATTTGTCATGCTGTGTCCCACAGCCAGAAAAAAAAACATCTTAGTTACTAGATTTGATGTAACTTTCTCTTGCAAATAATGCTTAGAGTCATTCAAAAGACAATGATGTGGCATTTATAGACGCCACTCGACTATGTTTGTCCTTTGATCCGAACTCTCTTTAAAGGTGGAGTGGTTTCTTCTTTTCTGTAAGTGTTTACATAAGGTGGACTCCACCGATTTTGAATAGCTTTCAGTTCAAAAACACTGTGATGCAGAACATCTAATTTTACAACCATTGAATCACATCATCACAACGTTCCGGTGATTATTCTTAATGCAAGAAATTAATAGGCAGGGTTGTTGGGATTCATAAATCATCATTAGTTTTTCATAGTTCATAAATGATGAAAAACATTAGGGTGGAGTAAATACTTAGTACAATCTGTTTACATTTATGTTATGGTGTAATATACATAAAAAAACAATTGGTCTGAAAGCTGTCTTTGTCATCCATTATTCATACAGTATAATAGCTTTTTTTCCTTTGCCAGGTGACCATCCTCAACTCCAAGAAGAACATGAACATTGGTATCTTCCTCAAGCAGTTCAAAAGGTGAGTGTATCACGAAGGTGTATTAAGAAAAGCTCTCCATTTCATCAGCAGATCCTAGGGTGGAAACACGCAGTAGTCATACGATAGATTGCTCACATGTCTCTGCAAGCCAAATGAATTTTTTTCTGACAACATCAGGCAGTCCATATCTTTTCTACCAGAGTAAGAGTGAAGATAAGATGGGGTTTGCATTATTTACATCATCAGCGGTTCCCTTAATCATACAGTGTTTCTTCGCAGATATTGATTAGCTGATTGTGACAGTTTAACTGAATACATCAGCTTTTAGTGCTAGAGCTTGTGATACCAGTTTGGTGTGCTTGTGTGTATCTCTAATAAAGCAAGAATGGGCTTGTCTAGTCCCTGTATGTTTTATGGTTGGCCAGGAAACGGAGATTAAGTGTATGTAGCAGTCAGAACAAGGTGAAGTATGAATCATAGTGTGGAAGTCCATATATCGCCCACTTCCTCTATACTGTTCTTACGGATGTGCCACTTGTTTTGGAGAACAATGCTGAATTTAGAATTGAGTTTTACAATGTTATCAGTCTACTTAAAGATGAAGTGTGTCTGTTCCACTAGGGGTGAAAGTATTGATTGATTTCATACAAGTTTCTCAGATATTCCCTGCAGCTGCCGTTGGATGGACAAAGAGGTAGTTCCGCCCCCAAACTCACGCCATTGGTTGAGTCACTGTTGCTGTGTTGGGCCGCTCAAACAAACAGAGCAATGTTGACACGCCACAGAATAGCAGTGTTGACACTACTGGAAAATTAACCTACAAATATCTTAGTTGTCACTGCATATCAAACTGGGACAGGCGAGAGTATTTTAAGTTAGAAAAATTAAACAATTAAAATAAATGATATTAAATTAAATAAAAAGTTTTATATGATGCATATACAATTATTTTATTTTATATTAAAATGTCAATAGTGTTTTTATTTTGTATTTTAAAAGAGTATGATAATGTTTTATGCAGCAATTTCATTTGAATTACAAACCTATAGAAAAAAAAATGCATGATGCATATTAAACGTTTATTTTATTTTTGAATAATGCATCTGCCTTCATAAGTAAGACTGGGGTTTAGTGATATTAGCAGAGATCCAATTCCGTTCAATCTCTGAACAATCTGAGATTTTGTTACTCTTGACATAGTCTGTGGAGGCCCTGATCTGTAATTCTACCACATCTTTCTCCACAGGTCAGTGAGTGGAATGATTGATGACATTATCAACGGCAGAGGAGAAAGATTTGGGACTGGGAAACTGAAGGAGATGTGCAAACTACTGCCAGAGGATGGAGAGGTGGGTGTAATATATGGATCAGGGCTTTAGTTACACTTGTTGAGCAATTCCAAGGCTTTGATAGTGTGCCAATGGCATTTGAATATGCGTTTGTGTATTGTGTAATATGAATTGCAAACTGAACTTTCATTTGATTTGAACTGAAAGCTTACTGTACTGTATTGGATTTGCTTCATTTCATTAGGTGCGTCAGCTTCTTGATTTTAAAGGAGACTGTTCAACTCTCTCTGAGGCAGATCGGTTCATGGTACAACTTGTCGAAGTTCCTTGGTGGGTGTATACAGCCACAGAAAGGCAAATACACTTACACAACTGTACACAGAGCACCTTCAATACTAAGCAATTTGCACAGTACAGCTCATGTTTTATCTCCGTGGCCAGGTATTGATTATCAATACAAGACAGTGAATTTGTAGGTCACTGCAAATTACTCTAAATGTGAGGGAACTTTAGATATACCATCATGATTATATTTCTTTGTTTGTTCTTCCTCTAGCTATGAGGAACGGTTGAACAGTTTAGTACTCAAAGAGGAATTCCCCCATTTTATGGATGAAGTGAATCACTCTATTGCAGTTATGACCTCTGCTGGACAAGGTATGATTGACATACATTTGAAGCCGTCTGCTATTACCTATAAGTCAACATGCCCTCTTCCCTTTTTTTGAAGCAGGGAAGTCACACCTTGTTTCTAGTTTTCAGTAATTGCTTATTATTAATATATATATTTAGAATTTAGAATTATTATACGTATCTGTCTATCTATCTATCTATCTATCTATCTGTCTGTCTATATATATATGTATATATACAGTATATATATATATATGGTGTGTGTGTGTGTGTGTGTGTGTGTGTGTTTAAGAGGCATTTTTTATGCGTCACAAGCATGGCCGGACTTACCACTGGGCTTGAGTAGGCTGCAGCCCATGGGCCCCTCCTTGTAGGGGGCCCCGCCTTTGCCCGTTTACGTTTGTTTGATTTGTTCGTTATATGCCAGTCAGAATTCAGAAATTATTAGCCACATTTCCACTGCGCATGCAAGATCTAAACGGGCCAGCCGGGGCTACAGCTTACAACTACGACCTTCGAGGCCGTCAAGTCTGCACCGATTGGTTTGTTATCACATGGCTACTTTAAACAGCCCCATTAAGCCTTTAGCCCCAAAGAGCGCACATTTAGAAAGATAAGGATAAACTCTCAAATGTTCACACCTCATTTCTTTACAGAGGATGATTCTATATTACTATAGCCTATTAATGTTCCACTAAATTATGCGATCATCTGATGAGTTTTTTGCGCTCTCTCTCGTTACTGCCATTACACATAGTGGGGAAGAAATGTCATAAAAAAAGCAATTTAACGAGTTTCTGTTTTTATAACATAGCTATGCCTATGATATAGGACTTAGCCTATCACACAAACAAGAGTCTTGTTTTTTTTCTCGAATATCTGCACGATCGCAAATGTACAATAAACAACAACTTACAGAGTAACTTTCAGACACAAAATTCCGTTTTGCTCCGTCAGAAAGAAAATAGAACAAACAGTAGAACCGCTGCGTCTCTGAACAACAGTGTTTTGTTCCTTAGTGTTACACAAACCAGCAAATGATTCTATCAGGCTATAAGTTCAGTCCTTTGCAAAGTTAAATGAATCAGCTTTTTAAACAAATTGGTTGATTCAACTCACTCATTAAGACAGTCACTTGCTGCCACCTACTGGCGGTTAAAGTTTCATATTTTAAGCTTATTACATTTTTGCAATCATTTATTATTTCTACATTAAAATGTTATATTTAAATGTAACATTATGCACAATCCATCTATGAATTTTGTTGATAGTAATTTCATTTGATTGTTAAATAGCCAGCATGTCTTTTTATTCGATTGAATTTATTGATTAAATAAAACCCTGACATAAGAGGACACAGATTTGACAATAACTTTTATCAAGTCCTCGAGACCTATTTAGTTTATCTCTGAATATGAGCATGCAAGTTTTTTGTCCAAAGTTGCTAGGTATGGTAACACACTATTGAGTCTATTGACTATTGATGTGCTGACACAAATGTTATTGTTAAATAAGAGTTTCTACAATTTAGCTTTTCTTTGTTCTTTTTTTTAGAATGCAGACACCAGGTTAAAGGAGGCCGAGGCGGCCTTCAAAAACCTTTCAGCCGTGAGTGATTCGGTAGCAGAGTATTTCTGTGAGGATCCAACTCAGTTCAAACTAGAGGAGTGTTGCTCCATTTTCTACTCTTTCTGTGAGAAGTTCAAACGAGCGGTTCAGGTAATTGCACCATCCAAAGATGCATTCTGGGTACTCTAAGAAAACATTTTGTCACACTTAAAAGATTCAGATCAAACTAATTTTAATATTACACAAAGATAACCCGAGTAAATACAAAATACAGTTTTGAAATTATTATTTCATTTATTAAGGGAAAAAAGCTGTCCAAACCTGCCTGTCACTACGTGAAAAAGTAAACCTAATAACTGGTTGTGCCACCCTTTGCAGCAACAACTGCAATCAAGCATTTGCGATAACTGGCAATGAGTCTTTCACATCACTGTGGAGGAATTTTGGCCCACTCTTCTTTGCAGAATTGTTTTAATTCAGCCACATTGGAGGGTTTCCGAGCATGAATGGACTGTTTAAGGTCATGCCACAGCATCTCAATCGGATTTAAGTCTGAACTTTGATTTGGCCACTCCAAAACCTTAATTTATTTTACTTGAGCCATTCAGAGGTGGACTTGCTGGTGTTTTTGGGATCATT